GAGGGGTTTTCTCAGCTGAGCACACCCTCCTGCTTGCATGCCTGAGCTGAGGGCAGATGGTTTCCAGGAAGTAAGTGCTACATGAACCATCTTCCCTTACTGAAGATGGCTATGGCCAGAAATGCTAGGGGGTGTTTTTCAAAGTGATTTCTCAGCAAAAAAAAAGCAAGGAGACATGGATGAATGTGTGAATTGCTTTGAAAGCTAACAATTAATTAAATAGTATTGGTTTCTGGTGCTCAGATACAGTGTAGATCCACTTTAGGGTAATATAGTGAAAAATGCATAAAAATAAACAAAAAACAAAATGAACAAGACACTGGCCATGTCCACATAATGAGCCTTTATTGAACAAATGCTCATTAAGGGGACAAAATAGGGGGATATTCATAGGGAGATATTGTTGTTCAACAAATGCTCATTAAGGAGACAGGGTCGGTTTCTAGTTCATTTTGTTTTTTATTTATTTATAGGCATTTTTCATATATTACTTTAATATTTTGTAAAATGTAGGTAAATTGTGCGGCAGTGCATTAATAGTAGTTTTTTTTTCTGTTTGTGGGTGTTGAGTATACTTATGAGAACATTTAGGGGTTTTAGGCCTCAAACCTGAAGGATTGTACTTCATCTGATCTCTTAGGATTCCAAGTATACTAATTGATCGCTCTATAACAATACTGTGGTTTTTGCACATTATGATAGTCTAAGAAAATCCAACCAAATAGTGATAACTATGGAAAACTATTTCCTTTTGGCAGTCAGATGAAGACATTTCATCAAATGGACTGGCTTTTTGTTGATACTAAGATACAGAACAAACATTTTGAATTTAGGTTCAGACATATGTCATCAATTTTTGCTGTTTGCCAGGTGGCTTCTCATTCACCAATTCCTTCTCCCAGAGCTAGCAAAATAATAAATCAAAAGTGTCAAATGCTTGTACTGTTATTTAACCATTGGGAGAATTAAGTGAAAGTTGGTTCCACTGTTAAGTGGCTCAACATTTACTGTTCTTTATTGCTTGTATCTCCCATTTTCACCTGGGATTGCAGTAACTCTAAGTGTGTGCCCCTTGTATTCCATCTAAACAACGACAGTGTTTCTAATAGTAATTTAATGATGTCTTTATGAACTGACATTCCCAGTCATAGATGTTACATTCTGTACTATTGGGCATTTTTACAAGTACCCAATTGTCCCCAGGACTCACTGTTCAGCAAAAACAAAACCAATTTCCAGTTTGATGCAGTAAGCATGTCTTCTTTCCATTAACATATACAGATGCCAAGCATTGCAATATAGGCAGGGTATCTTTGGATCATGCAAAACTGTAAATGCAGACGTAGCACCCTCCTAGATAGGTGCCAAGTTAGGTAAATTTAGCTCTTAGCTCTAATTAGTTGAGCTGCATATGATTATTTTAGTCTATTCTGTATTTCACAGGTGGCAGGTTTGATTGTTCTTCCCTGCATTTCAGAACACTCTGGGCTGTTCAGTAAATGGATAGCATGAATGTTTAGACCGCCTCAGCCAGTCCCTGTGGGAGACCACACAGATGGTTGCTGGGAAGGTGTACAAGTAGTCTGGGGGGCGAAACAGCATTGCCTTCCTGCAAGGGACTCCACCTGTTCTGGTGGGTGGGGCTACCCCTCACCTCAACTCACTGTTCATGGAGGTCCCAACTAGGGCTAGCTCGGGAGCTAATACTTCAGTCCAGTAAGCAGATCTGTTGTAAATCTTTCTGCACTTTTCTACACTAAATATGCATTGTCCTCTGCCCAGCTGTCCTGTATAGATCTGATACTGAAGAAAACATGAGGGTTAAATGGTATTTTAAAGTGGTATTAAACCCAAAAACAAAAAATTTAATATATTGCAGCTTATCAATCATTAGATGTGGTGGCTGCATTTGTTTTACTTTTTTAGGCATTTTCCCTCTGTTTTCACCTGGCGATCTGGCCAGGAAAACACCTCTTGTATTAGAGTGACCCCACTCTGGATGAAGGAGAATGGGGTACCTTTGGACAGCAGCATTGTCAGACTGGGGGGAGGGGGTTAGTGTTAGATGTACTAGCAGATTTAAATACAGTAAAACATTAAAGCAAAACTCCACCTAATATTTAATAAGCAGATACAGCAATAGTTTTTTTTTCTTTTGGGATAAAGGATTTACATTAATAAATAAATAAATGAAAGCTGATCATTATGAGCACCCCTGTTAGTGGTAAATGGTTTACCTAATCCCTGTAATTGCTACATCTGCTATATGAGCTTGTCCTTTCAAAAAACACCAGACTTACTGACTCAATCACTAGGTGAAAAAAAAAAAAGCCTAAAAAAAGAAAACGAATGCAGCAACTGCATCTAAGTATTGATAAGCTCCAATATAATAAATGTTTGCTTTTGGGTTTAATACCACCAACTGCTTATAAAGCCAACATCAAAAAGAAAATTCTACTAATCAGAACCCGAAAGGGCTGGAGGGTAAATGTATAAAAGCCATAGAGGTAACCTATACTCAATGCAAAGGACTTCATTTTGGCTGCACACAAGAAAATTTGTCAGAAAAAAAATTATAGCGGTAAGCTATTTCAGTAATCATTTGATTAAGCAATCAGAAAAACCATAGTAAATAATAGAGGCCATGGGTGATAAGAAATTACTAGGAGAGGCACAGCTGTCTTTTTGTTTTATTAACATTTTTTTCAAACCTTTAGGAATGGGCGTGATAGGAAAGTTATTTCTTTGTTTTTCTAATGCATGGCTGTTTCTGGGAAGTGCAACTGGATAAGAAAGAATGTAATCCCTAAAACAAATCAATTCTCTTGGTACCTATATAATTCGCTAACATTTCCCCTTTCATTGGGGGCCATGATTTCCCTGCATATGTACAACACTATTTGTCTCATGACAACAAATACAAGTTTTCAAATAGAAGAATTTCACTCAATAGTGCTTTTAGTTTTATGTCAGCAAAATTATTTATTGCCCACTGTAACACCAAAAAAGGGTGTCATGCTCCCCCTGCTGGAAGTCTCATACTCATACAATAAATAATAACAAGAAGAATAATACTGTACATCAAATACAGTAATAGCTGAGAGCCAGGATGGCGTGTGTGAACAAACTACAGCAATATATTCGCACCACCAAAGTCCCACAAGGGATACAAGAAGCCAATGGATGAATAAAATGTGTAAAATAAACCAGTGCCTAAAATTTGTAAATTAATTAATTAATGCTGCTGTTCATAGATGAAAACCATCAAAACATAAAAATAATACCACAGCACAAAAAATAAAACAAATAATAAAATACCATCAGTAATAATAAATACATACAAATAAGTGTAAAATTAATAAATAAAGTAATTAAAGTCAATAAATAAAGTCCATTGCCACAAATAAAGGGTGAAAAAAGTTCTCCAATCAAAGAAACAGTGCAAAGGAAATTCAACATGCCCACACCATCCGTGATCACCTTCCGGTACGGTCCACACTCACCAAACTTAATGGACTCCTAGCTTAAATGGCTTAAGAGTCAAACTTTTATGTGAGATGTGTTCTCCAGAATGAATCCCAATCAAGGAAAAAACTCTTGCTTGACAATCTACAACGACCACCAATACAGTAGATGCAATGCAAAGAGACAATGGGGACACTAATAGTGTAATACTGCAAAACTCTTTAATATAGTAAAACCAATGTGTTATATGCACTCACATTAGACAGGTTAAAAATAAGCCTCTTTAGTATAAGCTTTCCCCATCAGAATGCTTTAGGACCAAATCAATCATGGCTCCCACATCAAGTGAACTGGCAGCAGTGTGGTAAGGCTCTGACTGGCAGGTGTATATTCCCCTCTGAACAAAGATAGCTCCAGAGCGCTGCAAATTATATCAGCGCATTTCGCCCCTCCTCCAGGGCATTATCACAGATCTGGAGAAGGGGCAAAATGCGTTGACGTAACTTCTGGTTCCTACAGAGGCTTTGTGACGTCACGGTCGATGAATGGAGCACACGCTATCTGCGGCGCTCTGGAGCCATCTTTGTTCAGAGGGGAATATACACCTGCCAGTCAGAGCCTTACCGCACTGCTGCCAGTTCACTTAATGTGGGAGCCATGATTGATTTGGTCCTAAAGCTTTCTGATGGGGAAAGCTTATACTAAAGAGGCTTATTTTTAACCTGTCTAATGTGAGTGCATATAATGCATTGGTTTTAATATATTAAAGAGTTTTGCAGTATTACACTCTTAGTGTTCCCATTGTCTCTTTGCATTGCATCTACTCTATTGGTGGTTGTTGGAGATTGTCAAGCAAGAGTTTTTTCCTTGATTGGGATTCATTCTGGAAAATACATCTCACCTAAAAGCTTGTTTGACTTTTAAGCCATTTAAGCTAGCAGTCCATTAAATTTGGTGAGTGTGGACCGTACCGGAAGGTGATCACGGGTGGTGTGGGCTTGTTGAATTTCCTTTGCCACTGTTTCTTTGATTGGAGCACTTTTTTCACTGTTGATTTGGGACAGTGGATTTTATTTATTGACTTTATTTACTTTATTTATTAATTTTACACTCATTTATACAGTATATATATATTATTACTGATGGTATTTATTATTTGTTTAATTTTTTTGCGCTGTGGTATTATTTTTATGTTTTAATGGATGAATAAACCTGCTGGGTCCTTTTTTTTTTATAAAGACTTAGCCATTAAATATTTTATTAACCTGTTTTCAAACTGAAATCCAGGCAGATATAAAATACAAAAAATTAACACAGCTCTGCACTCATTAATATCTTTTTGAATGAAAGCAGTGTAATTATTTGAATTTCACCTGATGTCATTCTCTTGCAATCCCCTGTACAGCAGAGCTCAGATTGTGAGAAGCAGTAAAAGCAGCCAATCAGTTGTGCTGCAATGCTCATGTGCTAACAAAGAACATGGTTATAGAAGAAAAGTGAAAGAGAACTGAGTTTATCAGTCTCCCACTTTCCCTGTAACTATCCAAACACAGGTTGAGGGATGCACAAAGCCTGCAAGTGTTACATAACCAGGGGCGGACTGACCATTTGGAAACTCGGGCACTGCCCGAGGGCCCGGGTGAGTAGGGGGCCCCATGAGATGCCCCTGGTACCTTTTTCATAGACTTTTTTGAGTTTGGGCAAAGACACAGGCGCCCCATGATCCCCTATTGCCCGGGGGCCCCATGAGTTGTCAGTCCACCCCTGTACATAACTACAGCTGCATAATTGCCCTTCTAGAACTGAATTGGCAGAAGTACATACATACAGCTTTTTACTTAGCAGCAGTAGGGATGAGTGTTGCTGTGATCAAATTTAACATTAAATACAATATAACAAATTTAAGCTTTTTAACAAAAAGCATAAAAATGAGAAGAAATCATCAGGTGTCACAAAAAAGAAAGGATTTGTCCTATCTAATTGGAATTGGAAATATAAAGGTTCGGCATAATTTTTCCCACTTTGAAACACTTAGATCATCCATAGAGGAGTAGAGTAGAGTTTTGAATGAATCTTTAATTGTTCCTTTAGTTCGATAAGAACAGACATATGGGAGAGCATAACACCCCAAAAGGTAAGAAATATCCTCGTTACCACAAAGGTTTCTCAAACTAGAAATTATTGATTGGTATAATCAATGCATTCATGGCCATTGTTTAAAATCATCCTTATTGTAGATTTGTTTTTATCCCAAATTGTTTAACAAAAGTTGTTGATTATGTGATTTATTAATTATGTAGCTTAACAACCTAAAACGGGTCTCCGAACTTTCAAAGCAAAGGGCCAGTTTACTCTCTTTCAGGCTTTAGGGGGGCTGGACTATGGCCAGTGAGAGTAGAAAATGCTCTTGCATCCGTGCCCCATCATTGGTTTTATTAGGAGGATTTGTGTCCCACTGTTGATATCAATGAGATGAATAGTGCCCCATAGATGGTGTCAATAGGGGGAATAGTGCTCCTTCACATTGGTATCAGTTGATGGAATAGTACCCCAAGGGATAGATCGTGGCAAGTAAAGGGCCACATTTGGCCCCGGGCCACAGTTTGGAGACCACTGACCTAAAACCTCCAAACAAAGCATCTTCCCATGTTGTTAGCATTATTGGCTCCCAGTACACATTAGCTGGTAATAAATTGCCAGTAGTTTAATGTACTAAGTAGCAAGGGGAAAAAAGTAAAGAAGTCTAAGCCCTTCAAAGTAAAGGGACATTTTACACATTTTTATAGAACATTATTCAGTTTAATCCAATCACTGGGCCTCATTTATCAGTCTTTCTTTGGGCATTGCTCCAGAGTAACTAGATTTACACATTCATTTCTCTGTTATTTTCTCTGCAGGTTTTAATTTCATTGTCTGTTGTGCATATATACTTGTAATGCAATGCTGGACACAATAACCAAAAACAAGTCATATACACACAATACACAAGTAGTCACACACAGGTATGTTTAACCAGCATTTACACCATTATTCTAAGCATGTGAGAGACCCTCTACCAAATGAACACCTGCCCTGGCACATCATAGCATTCACTCGGCACTCCAAGAAATAATAGAATCAAATGCAGGGTTCTTGCACTGTCAAAACCTCCACTGTTATTATCACACGACACACAGGAGGATATATGTTATAGTCATCACAATCTGCATAATAACACACACCAATAATAATGTTAGCATTACAGCATGAAATAGACACATCTTTTGACAGCGTCACAGCATAGAATTAATACATTACCAAAGCTACAGGAAGACGGGAAGGAACAGACCCCATCAGAACAACGCGACCAGTCGATGAACCCATATAGCCTTGGCAAGAGTCCCAGCGTCAGAGCATCTCCTTTTGCATAGGAAGGCCCCTCCCCTGACCGCATTCAAGCTCTCCGTTTTAAGTCCTGTTTCTAGCAGCTTTCCTAAAGTGGGCAGGCACCACACCCACTCCAGGAGGAGCTAGCAGAAAGATTCCATGAAGATAACAGAGTCACGCCCAACCACTACACTGAACAAACAACGTTATCTCGGAATATCACACTTTTGCTTCAAATCAGCTTGTTATCTACCCTAAACTTAAAGATTTCTAACTTCTCAAACAAGCAGACATCTTTAATTGCATAAACAAGTTCGTATCTAATTTAAGCAGTCTAATATAACATTTCTAGATGTCACAAACACGTTCAATCTCACAAACAAGTTCTTATCTGCTTTAAGCAGTCTAATGTCTTGTGACTCTGTTCTTTGGGCCTAGAGAAATTACATCAATGTCATTTCTCGTGCTTCTGGCATCTGGGCAATGATGCTTTATTGTAAAAATCCCCCTAGAAACGAAAGGAGCAAGGCCAACACATTTCATAGGCATTACAGTACTGTATATACATAATTCTTTTCTGAGACACTTTTAGACCAAGGACTGCATTCATAAAAGTCCATGTCTAGTAGCTAAACAAATAGAACTCCAAGCAATGGGAGCTGTAATGTTTAATGTACCCTACACCTTTCATTCAGACTACAGACAATCCTGTAATATTTGGGGATAGAGATCAGCACAATCATTGTGCCAGAAAAGCAAGAGTTAAGCAAGCTGTAGATCATGCAAAGTTGCTCAATTCCCCCATCAACACAGGCAATTTTGATGGGGAAATCCCCCCCACAATATTATATTCTGACAGCAGAAGACTTCCACAGAATACAATAGACATCGGCAGTAATCGCACAGAAAAAAACAACAGGTTGTCTATGGCCAACCTTGGAAGACTTCAGGGATGCCTTGTGGCTTCACTTTATTGTAGGTTGCCCTAAAGGCTTACGAATGTGCCCAGCGCGTGCCGAGCACACCCTAATTACCTTGTGTGCAGAGTGTCAGCGGGGTTCTGGGCATTGGAAATCTGTTGGTGTTCCTGCACCCAGCACAGAAAAGAGTGTTGTAGCACACAAAATGCAGACTGGCAGTGGGTGACGTTGTGGGGGGGTGAGTTGTGCGAGTGGTGCAGTGGTGGCATGGTTGACTTCCCTGCCTATATTGTTCCTGATTGGTTGCCAAGCGGTGAGTAAGGGCTCTCTGGGACACACCAATGTTCAGCCATTTTATAAATGTGTGTTGCAGCAGCCACCTGTGCGCTCTCTCCAGTAGTGGGGAAGGTAAGTTTCCCCCTCCCCCTCCCGGACCCCCAAGCTCCTGGAAATTCTGTGACCCCAGTTCCAGGAAGCACCCCTCTCCCAGCCAGCCTGCCCCGGTTGCCCCTGCCGTCTGGTTCAAAGTTTGGAAGGAACTCCACAGGTTAGGAGGCACAAATTTCTTGCCTTGCACCAGGTACTGACAACCCATGCCACGCCACTGAACAGAACACAAAATGTTTGATTTAAAATCAGTAACAAAGATACTGTGGAATATTTAGATTTTACACACTCTCTGAAAATCAGGTTCACTCACTGCCTGTCTTGATGCAGGAGATAGAAGGTAAAAAGGTTTCTTAAAAGACACATTCAAGTGAGATGAAGATATGTGAGTACATCATGGATGTGCTCAAAATCACAAATCTGAGACATTTAATGAGTTGCTAATTAATGAGGAAGTTTCTGTAGCAGAACTTAAAGTGGTATTAACCTCTTCCCGCCCGGCCTATGGCCGAATGGCAGCCGGCAAAAACCCTCACCTTTCTGGGTGGACGCCATATGGTGTCCTTTTGGGCATGCACAGTTTGCGTGCAGGCAGAGCCGTGCAGCGGTAGCGAGCACCGGTGTACCTCGGACACGGCCGATGACAGATCTGAGTAGCGGCCCCGTTGCCGGTGGTACCATGTGACACATGACAGTTGTATACAATGGATGGCTTCATTCATGCCATCCATTGTATACCAGTGTGTCTAGCTGTGAATGGTCACAGCGATCACATGCACAAGCTGGGCCAGTCACAGCCCAGCTGTGTCATGTGATTAGCCGTGGCCAAATCACAGCTAAGCACAAAAAAAAAAAAACCTGAATGAATCGATGTTATTCAGGTAAATGCTTGCTTATAGCAAAGTAATTCTTTGCTATAAGCAAATTGTGTAAAAAATAAATAAATACTGATCACTTCCCCAAAGTAGTACAATGTTACTATGGTAACATTGTACTACTTTGGTCATAGTGAAATATGAAAAAAAAATCTTAAAAAAAAGAAAAAATTTAATACAAAATTAAAAATAATATTATTTATTATTATATTTATTTTTCATACTGTCACCAGTGTCCCCGATCACTGCCATGCCAGTTATATGATGACGCTCTACTGCACTGGTGACAGTATGTAAAAAAAAAATAGTGAAAATAATTTTTTTAATTTTTAAATTTTCCGAAAAATTATGACAAAAAAAATACAACTTCAAAAAACTCGCCATAACTCTTTTGAAGTACGTCGGACTGTCTACTCTGCAAAAAGGGGTCATTTGGGGGATATCTGTACTGTTCTGACATTCTTGGACCTCAAGAAATTAGATTGGCTGTCAGTACTTCAGGATTGATCAATATTCAGATATATCCCATAGTTTGTGAACTCTATAACTTTCCTACAAACTAAAAAATACATCCTAATTTGGGTTATTTTCACCAAAGACATGTAGCAGAATACATCTTGGCATAGATTTATGAAGAAAAATTATTTATTTGCAAACTTTTATAACAGAAACAAAGAAAAACGTGTTTTATTTTTTCAAAATTTTAGCAAATTTAGCAAACATAAAAACCCCAGTTGTGATTAAATATAACCAAAAGAAAGCTCTAGTTGTGTGAAGAAAATGATAAAATTTTAGTTTGGGTACAATGTTGTATGACCGCGCAATTGTCATTCAAAGTGTGAGAGCGCTGAAACCTGAACATTGGCCTGGGCAGGAAGGGGGTAAAAGTGCCCTATATGGAAGAGGTTAAACCCAAAACCAAAAATGTAATGGTTTGCAGCTTACCATTCATTAAATGTCAGATCTGGTCAGTAACACACCACCTGTATTAAACCTCAGTACTGGGCACTTTTACCCCCTTCTTGTCTAGGCCACTTTTCAGCTTTCAGCGCTGTTGCACTTTGAATGACAATTGCGCAGTCATGCAACACTGTAGCCATATGAAATGTTATAGTTTTTTTTCACACAAATAGAGATTTCTTTCACCACTGGGTTTTTTTTTTTTTTTTTCCGCTATAAACGAAAAAAGAACAAAAATGTTGAAAAGAAAAACACGTATTCTGCTACATTTC